TGTCGGTGGTGTTTGTGTTGTGGGCGTTGCACACCACAAGCAAAACACACAGACAGACACGCACACGCACACACGCACAGAGAGATTCATCATTGCGGAACCCCACACCTTCTTTTGACTAATGGATTTCCCTCTCGAGCCGCACAAAGTGCACAAGCGGAATCCACACACGCATGGCAGCAGTCAGAAAGCGAGATGACTACGAGAATCGCCAGGAGAGGGATCGGAGGCCTTTTCGGTCGGATCTCCATTTCTGGGGTGCGTGCCAACCTTAAGAACTCTCCTGCGTGCTAAGTAGATGTTCTTGAAAGCAAGCATATCCTCTCCAAAAAGGCGCACAGAAAGATGGACACTGATTGCGTTCTTGGAAAGCATGTGCCTCTCCAAAACCAAAATGAAAGATATGGATACTGATTAGGTTCTTGAAAGCAAGCATATCCTCTCCAGAGAAGCACACCGAAAGATGCACGCTGATGTGGTTCTTGAAAGCAGTTCCCTCTCCAAAACCAGATACTGATTAGGTTTTCTGAAAAGCAAGCATATCCTCTCCAAAAAACAAAACGAAAGACATTGGACCTTGTTTCTGTGTTTCTCCAGCCCGCCTTCGCCAAACGGGATGCTGTGAGACCTTGGGCCTCCGAGGTGGCAGTACACACCGGCGGTGGACTCAAAGGTCTCCAATATCTTGCAGGGCTGCTTGCACGGCAGGCCCGGGAAACCTCAGGAGCCCTGAGTTCCGGACTCGGACTTGATCGTCACTTCTTGGGTTGGACCGTTTCAGTGGTAAACAAAAAAGCCCAGGTGGCACGGACTCAGGTGCCACACGCTGTGCACCGACCTCAAAACAGCCATGAAAGCATCGCATCGTGCGGGACAATTCGACGGGAAGGGAATCCTCGAACGATGGAATTTGGTCGATGACGAAAAGACAACTTGAGGGCATTTCAACTGGAGCAAGGATCACGGTGTGATGTTGAGTATGTCCCCATCAACCTAATCCCCCGCTACCTACAGCTCATACGTCTCAACGGACCTCCCACAAATAGCATGTGTCTTCTTCAGTTCCCCACGCGGCCAAACGAAGGAACTTGGGCGGTATTTTTGGCACGGGCTACCCTGTTTTTGGTTTTAGGATTTTACATCATCGCTAGCCCGTGACAAAATCAGTCAATCAGTTGTTTCTTATATGACTTGTATGCCGTCCAATGTGGCGGTACCTTGGAAACTGTTGCAGAGTTTTGGCGCAAGCCTCACGAACCATCGCCAAAAGTCCATTCTTGGCAGGGGTGAAAGCGATTACATCATGGTTGTTGCTGGAAAACATGTTTGCATTTTTGCTTATTTTGGTTTAGTGATTGAAATCCTCACTCAACTGCTAAAATTTATTTTGTTGCTGCCCTTCCAACGTCAACCAAGACATGGTATTCTCCTTGTGACCATGCAGCTCCATTCTGTGCATCGAGCAGCTTCTGCACCCGTTCTTCTTGATTGGCCCCAACCTTTTTACACCTAGGTCCCCCAGCTAGGTGCCCTTTTGCCAACTTCTTTTGGGGAGTAGGCTTTCCCTTTAAAACAAGAATAGCCTCAAAACAACACACCCATGTTGACGGAGTGGGGTACCACTCCCATTTCCTGGTTGACAAATTGCAGACGCATTTTGATTATTGTCCCCCATTTGGCTGCTTGCATTGGTGGCTGGCCATTGCTTCGAGCTACCCAAATCACTTGCTCAAATAGACAAGACTGAAAAACATTCTACCCTCTCTGCTGGAGGACCCAGCCTTTAAGACCCACAAAAAGGGGTCCATCTGCGAGAAGCGGTCTGCCTCCCGCCAGGGACCCGAAGTCCGTCCTGCCGCACCCCTCCCCACGTGGGCTCGGGGCACCTAGTTGGCTCCAGGCTGGTTGTGGTTGGGGTTGGGTTAGGGTTAGGGTTGGGGTTGGGGTTGGCTTGGCTTGGGTGCGTGTTGTTGGGTCGGTTGGATTAGGGTTTGGTTAGGGTTGGGGTTAGGGTTGGGGTTGGGTTAGGATTGGGTTAAGGTTAGGGTAGGGTTGGGGTTGAAGTCATTTGCCACATATTTGGTTGGGCTGTTTTACTTGGAAAGGTACAGCTATTTGGATTAGGTTTGCCAGGTTGGGGTTAGGTTGGGGTTGGGGTTAGCTGCTAGGTTAGGTAGGGTTGGGGTTGGGGTTGGCTTAACATTACTTGGCTTAAAAGGCATGTTGGTATTTGCTGGATTAGGTTTGGTTAGGTTGAAGAAGAAGGTTAGGATTAAGGTTAGGTAGGGTTGGGGTTGGGGTTGGTCATTGGGTTGGCTTATTTGGTATGTATGTTATTTGGTTGATTAGGGTTTGGTTAGGTTGTAAGAAGGTTGGGTTAGGTTGCTAGGGTTAGGTAGAAGAAGTTGGGTTAGGTTGGGGTTAGTTAGGGTTGAAGTTAGGTTAGGTTGCTAGTTGGGGTTAAGTAGATTGGGTTAAGGTTAGACGACGCTGCTGTGAAGTTGGCTTGGGTTGGGCTATTGGCTTTGGCAAAGCATGTTGGGCTCTATGATTAGGTTTGGTTAGGGTTGAAGAAGGGGCTGGAAGAAGAAGCAGATTGCTAGGGTAGGGTTAGGTTAAATAGTTGAAGAAGAAGGGGGTTGAAGAAGAAGAAGAAGTTGGCTGGGGGTTAGGGTTGGGGTTAGGGTTGGGGTTGGGTTAGGATTGGGTTAAGGTTAGGGTAGGGTTGGGGTTGGGGTTGGCTTGGGTTGGGTTGGCTTGGCTTGGGTGCGTGTTGTTGGGTCGGTTGGATTAGGGTTTGGTTAGGGTTGGGGTTAGGGTTGGGGTTGGGGTTAGGGTTGGGGTTGGGTTAGGATTGGGTTAAGGTTAGGGTAGGGTTAGGGTTGGGGTTAGGTTGGGGCGAAGAAGCTGGGGTTGAAGAAGTCAGTTGGGGTTAGGTTGGGTTAGGGGGTTGGGTTAGATTGCCAAGGTTAGGTAGGGTTGGGGCTGGGGTTGGCTTGGGTTGGGTTGGTCGGCTTAAAAAGCGTGTTGTTGTTGGGTCGTGGTTGGATTAGGTTTGGTTAGGGTTTTAGGGTTGGGGTTGGGGTTAGGTTGCTAGGTTGGGGTTAATAGATTGGGTTGGCGTTAGGGTAGGTTAGGCTGGGGTTGAAGTTGGGGTGTATTTGGGGTTAGTTAGGGTTGGGGTTGGGGTTAGGGTTGGGTTAGGGTTGGGGTTGGGTTAGGATTGGGTTAAGGTTAGGGTAGGGTTAGGGTTGGGGTTAGGGTTGGGTTGCGTTGGCTTGGCTTGGGTGCGTGTTGTTGGGTCGGTTGGATTAGGGTTTGGTTAGGGTTGGGGTTAGGGTTGGGGTTGGGGTTAGGGTTGGGTTAGGGTTGGGGTTGGGTTAGGATTGGGTTAAGGTTAGGGTAGGGTTAGGGTTGGGGTTAGGGTTGGGGTTAGGGTTGGGGTTGGGGTTAGGGTTGGGGTTGGGGTTAAAGGTTAGGATTGCTATAAGAAGTTAGGGTTGGGGTTGGGGTTGGCTTGGGTTATTTTGGTTTGGGTGCGTGTTGTTGGGTCATGGATTAGGGGTTTGGTTAGGGTTGGGGTTAGGGGGTTGGGGTTGGGGTTAGGTTGGGTTAGGGGTTAGTTGGGTTATAGGTATTAAGGTTAGGTAGGTTAGGTTGGTTGGTTGGGGTTAGGTTGGGGTTGTGTTAGGGTTGGGTTGGGGTTAGGTTGGGTTAGGGTTGGAAGCAATAGATTAAGGTTAGTAGGGTTAGGGTTGTAAGAAGCTGTCATTGGTTTAAAAGGTATGGTTGGGTCGGTTGGATTAGGGTTTAGTTAGGGTTAAATAGGCTGGGTTAAATAGGTTGGGTTAGGGTTGGGGCTGGGTTAGGATTGGGTTAAGGTTAGGGCAGGGTTAGGCTGGGGTTAGGCTGGGGCTGGGGTTAGAAGGTTAGGTTGGGGTTGCTATCACAGTTAGGTAGGGTTAGGTTAAAGAAGAATAAGGTTGTTTGCTAGGTTGGGTTGGGTTAGGATTGCCAAGGTTAGGGTAGGGTTAGGTTGGGGTTAGGGTTAAATAAGTGCTGGTTTATGGTGCGTGTTGTTGGTCGTGTTGGATTTAGGGTAGGGTTAGGGTTGGGGTTAGGGTTGGGGTTGGGGTTAGGGTTGGGTTAGGGTTGGGGTTGGGTTAGGATTGGGTTAAGGTTAGGGTAGGGTTAGGGTTGGGGTTAGGGTTGGGTTAGGGTTGGGGTTGGGTTAGGATTGGGTTAAGGTTAGGGTTGGGGTTAGGGTTGGGTTAGGGTTAAAGAAGCTGGGGTATGAAGAGGTTGCTTAGGTTAGCTAAGTTAGGATTGCTGTTAGAGGGTAGGGTTAGGTTAAAGGTAGTAAAGAAGGGGTTGGGTTAGGGTTGGGGTTGGGTTAGGATTGGGTTAAGGTTAGGGTTGGGGTTAGGGTTGGGTTAGGGTTGGGGTTGGGTTAGGATTGGGTTAAGGTTAGGGTAGGGTTAGGGTTAGGGTTGGGTTAGGGTTAGGGTTAGGGTTAGGGTTGGGTTAGGGTTAGGGTTGGGGTAGGTTGGGTTAGGGTTAAGTTAGGTTAGGTTGGGGTTAGTTAAGTAGTTGGTTAAGTTAGATTGCTAAGGTGGCAGAAGAAGAAGGAATAGTTAGGTTAGGTTAGGGTTGAAGAAGAAGTTAGGGTTAGGGTTAGGGTTGGGTTAGGGTTAGGGTTGGGGTTAGGGTTGGGTTAGGGTTGGGGTTGGGGTAGGGTTGGGTTAGGGTTGGGTTAGGGTTAGGGTTGGGGTTAGGGTTGGGTTAGGGTTGGGGTTGGGTTAGGATTGGGTTAAGGTAAGGGTAGGGTTAGGGTTAGGGTTGGGTTAGGGTTAGGGTTAGGGTTAGGGTTGGGTTAGGGTTAGGGTTGGGGTTAGGGTTGGGTTAGGGTTGGGGTTGGGGTAGGGTTGGGTTAGGATTGGGTCAAGGTTAGGGTAGGGTTAGGGTTAGGGTAGGGTTAGGGTTAGGGTTGGGTTAGGGTTAGGGTTAGGGTTAGGGTTGGGTTAGGGTTAGGGTTGGGGTTAGGGTTGGGTTAGGGTTGGGGTTGGGTTAGGATTGGGTTAAGGTTAGGGTAGGGTTAGGGTTAGGGTTGGGTTAGGGTTAGGGTTAGGGTTAGGGTTGGGTTAGGGTTAGGGTTGGGGTTAGGGTTGGGTTAGGGTTGGGGTTGGGGTAGGGTTGGGTTAGGATTGGGTTAAGGTTAGGGTAGGGTTAGGGTTAGGGTAGGGTTAGGGTTAGGGTTGGGGTTAGGGTTGGGTTAGGGTTGGGGTTGGGGTTGGGGTAGGGTTGGCTTGGGTTGCGTTGCGGTGGGTTGGGTTGGGTTGCGTTGGGTTGCCTCATGGGTGTTGTTGGGAAACATTTTACGTTTTTGCTTATTGTGGTTTAGTGCCTGAAATCCAACCACTGAACTGCTAAAATTTGATTTGTTGCTCAACCGAGGCCTGGGCAAATTCCCCAAAGGTATCTTGCGCATGCGGTGGCTCGTCGTTTCCAAACATGCGAGCTCAGGCGCTGGATCGACGCCGGGTTTCGGTTGGATACGCCACACGGCTCTTGAAACAGCAGTCGTTGCTGCAAGGCATGGAGCCTTGCAGACAACAAATGAAACACTTCCCATTGTCTCCAATTCAAGGTACACAATCAAACCGTCAATTTGTGATACCCTGCGCAACATTGCCACAGTTGAAGCCCCTTCAAGTACGCTATGACACTGTTTGATTCCCTGTTTTGCCCGAATGGCCCCTTAAAGACTGTCATTGAAGATAGGCACTCTTTGTTCGAAATTGCATTAGATTTCGACCACTCAACCTGCTGGGATTTGGTTTTGAAAATGGTTCCACGCCATCAAATCATCCAAGAAATGTTACACCCAAGTGAGAACCAGTAAGGGCTCTCAGATGGCCCCTTTTAGCCTCCCTCTTCGATTGGTGGTTTGGCGGTTAAGCGTGGTTTTCCCATGTTTACCCTGTAAAAGAAGCAGTCCAACTCCAAATCCAAACCACCAAGTCAAACAACCAAGTCAAACCACCCAGTCAAACCACCAGTCAAGGGCTGGAATGTGCCTAGCAAGGCCTAAATTCGTAAGCTCCCGATATTCCTGATGAGCCTTGAACAAGAGCGTCCTGCTGAGCTCAGTGGAGAAAACACACCTCACCAGCTGGTGGTTAAGTTTTTTCCCCCATGTGCCCTTTAAAAGGAGCAGTGGTTCAGAAAGTCCAAACCACCAAGTCAAACCACCAAGTTAAGCCACCAGCCAAGGGTTACCTGACGCAAGCGGCTCCATAGCTTCCCCAGAACTAGTCCCCTTTTTTTTGTTTGCTTCTTTGGGGTGCCCCTTGGTTTCCACCAACCAGGCGAAAAGTAATACGGTTTCTTGCCTTGGTGGCTCCCAGCCATCCGGTTCCTTAGCTTTTTAGATCCTTTTAGTGTTTAGTGGTTGGGTTTCCGAATTTCACCCACAAAAAGTTATTCATTGTTACCAGGGGATCCGAAAACGGGCAGTCCAGCTGCTGAGGTCCTAACTCCATGCCTTCCTTAGAATTAGCTCCCCTTTTTTATTTTGACTTTTTTGGGGTCCCTTTCTTTCCAACTAACCAAGCAAAAAAGATAATGTTTTGCTGGGTTCTATTTCCAGCCTAGATCCGAGCTAAGTTCAGTTCCGGCTCTCCAGTTCGCCCTGGATACCATCCCATGTTGCCCCGCTGGGCACCTTTGTTGTCCACCAACCAACCAGTCCAGTTGCTGGATGGCGCTCAATCAACAACTAAGAAAAACCATCAACAACTAAGAAAAACAATCAACAACTAAGAACAACAGTCGTTTCTTTTCTCGCTGGGTCCCAATTTCCATGCGGAGCTAAGGCTGGAGCCTCCCGGGGATCTGCCGCAGCTTTGCCCTCCGCCCTGGCCCATGCTGGCCAACGGCTTGGCAGGCGGCGATGGCGTCGTCGGCTTGCCTAGGTGCCTTGAACAAGGTTCCGTTTTTTTTTGTTTTTCCTCGTGTTTTTTTTGGTGGGGTTTTGGGGGGGTGGGGTGGAGTGTTAAATCATCAAGGGGCGCCTTGAAGAAGGTTCTCTGTGTTATTGGCCGGGGGGGGGGGGTGGATTTGGATTTGGATTTGGGGGGGGGGGTTTATTACTTTATGTATTGTTTTTTTTTTTGTGGGGTCGGGCGTGTGTTAAATCATGAAAGGGTGTTTGGTTGGGGGGGGGGGGAATTTTCATGAAAGGGTGTTTGGATTTGGATGTTTTGTTCCACCCGGCTAGCAAGCAGCCTACCCTGAACAAACCGAACCCTGCCAGTCCTTGGAAACCAAAGACGTCAAAAGGAACCATCAGGAGAGCCACGTCCTCAAACCCTTTGGTAGATGAAGGTTAGGGACAAGCCCCTTGCCATAAATAGATGCGGAGATCCGCCTTCATTCTTTACATGATTCTGGGTAGACCATTTTAATACCGGGTGTTGATTATGACTCAGGACGGCTCTTTGCTGCGAAAGGCCTGGTGTTTTGGCCTCGCAGCGTCGACGCCAGGCTCTCATGGGGCTTGAGCACGCAAACTTCGGTTTCACCCCGAGCCAAGCGCAATGCCCCGTGGCGTGGTCGCTCATGTCGTGTGTTTCCCTGGTACCGTTTTGGGGCCAAAAAGAAGCCAAAGCCATTTGAGCCACAATCAAAACCCGGGTAGGTTAGTAAGGGGCAGTCCCAGTCAGAAATAGTTGCGGCCACCTTCTTAATTCTTTACATGGTTCTGGGTCGACCATTTTAATATCGGGTTTTAATTATGACTCATTCTCCATTTTTCGCCACAAGGACGTGTTGCTCGGCTGACTTAGCATGCCCTGAAAAGGGCCCGGCCCAGCCCGCGAAAACGGAGAGCTGGGCGGGAACTTCTTTTTTGTTGTTGCAATTTGCTTGGAGCTTAGGACTTTAGCTTTTTGCCAAATGGGTTTTCCGAAGTAAACCACTGAAAGTTATTCACTTTTAGCAGGGGAGCAGAAAGCAACCGAGCCTTTGCTATAGTCAAACATTTGAACTTCTACCGTAACTTGAGACGACGGGGGACCCAGAGTCGGCAGTTGGAAAACTGAATCTTTAAATGGGAACAGCTGCTGTGATGCTCAGCAAGTTAAATGAATCGCTTCATTTCAACACGCAGGTTGTCACTCATAAGGCGTTGTGAAAGTCACCATGAGTTCGCTTGACAGTAGCCCACCTATTTTCACATTGCGGGTTATATTCGGTCGTAGTTTGTGGGGGGTGAAGCGCCGTTCGCACGGCATGTGTCACAGCCTTGATCAATTCTATGTTGTGGCACGCACACCGCATCACGTGGGAAGTGTATCCTCAGAGCCTAGAAGTACTTTCTTTTCTGGCATGGTCCAGAGAAGGGACCCTTGCATTTCTTTCAAATACCGCACGTGGATCTGTCAGAGCTGCGAGCTTCTTTACATGACCTTGAAAAGCGACCATTCATGAAGCTGCCATTTGCTCCTAACTGGCTGGGTCGAAGTGTTGGCTTTCGTATCAATGCCTGCTACCGTCGGCACATCAGGCAAGCATCGCGTCATGTATGTGCACATGCTAATCCAGCGCTATGGTTACTGCGCGTCAACATTCCAATCAGTTTGTCGTGTCATGAAATCCTAAGGCTATGGGGAAAGGGGGCTATTAACCCCTCAATACCCCCCCCCCCATCCTAGCCCCCCACAAGGGGTCCATGATGATGTGGCGGATTTTTGTTGGTCAGGCAGCCAGTCCCGGGTGTCAGTGCCAAAACCGATGGGATGCCGGTGTGTTGCGTGCCGGGTCTGTGGCTCCAAGGAGACTCGCATCTTCATAGCGAGCTGCACGACGGGAAGTTATGTGCGAGACAAGCATGTGATCTTCCGGGCACAGTATCCCAGAGAATGGTTCCCAATCGGATTGTTGTTCTAGTTATTTTCTCGATTTGAAGGAAGGACTGGCTCTTCACATGTTCTATTTGTCCTTGAAGGCATTTCACAAGTGGAAATATAGCCTTCGGCACGCTTCCAGCCCCCCGCCGGGCAAACCCCCTCAGAATTTCTTCTGCCATGGCGCTGGTTTTCGTGCAGCCTAGGCTTGGGAACCCAGTTGGGATCCTCGAAAGGCGCCCGAATAGAACATCCAATGGCCGTTGAACATGGCTGCACACGCCCATGGAATCCGATGGAGTAATTGTATTGCAGAAGATGCGTGACCTGGTACGAGTCAACCAGCCAAACGGAAATGTGTGTGTGTGTGTGTAGGCGAGCGGGCGGTGGGAGTGTGGGTGCGTGTGCGCGTGCCTGCGTGTTTGCCTGGCTGTGTGGTTGCGTGCCTCTGTGTTTCTGTGTCTCTGTGTTTCTGTGTCTCTGTGTCTCTGTGTCTTTGTGTGTCTGTGTGTTTGTCTGTGTGTTTGTCTCTCTGTCCTGTCCTGTCCTGTCCTGTCCTGTCCTGTGCTGTGCTGTCCTGTCCTGTCCTGTCCTGCCCTGTCCTGTCCTGTCCTGTCCTGTCCTGTGTCCGATCCTGTCCTGTCCTGTCCTGTCCTGTTTGTGTGTCTGTGTGCGTGTGTGCAAGTGTGCGTGCATGCACTTGTGCTTGTGTACTCGAGTGTTTGTTTGCGTGCGTGAGTGCGGGCGGGCGGGCGGGCGGGCGGGCGGGCGGGCGGGCGGGCGGGCGGGTGGGTGGGTGTGTGTGACTGGTGTGTGACTGTGTATATTCCCTACAGCCTGCTTGCAAAAGGTTGTGACATCTTTGTTTGAGGGACCCCTTCCAGGCCGCCTTTCTGGCTGCTGGGGATCCTGGTCACTTCCGGTCACTGGAATGGTCTCGGGGGCAACCCTCTCCGAAGGCCACTTCCCTACAGTGGATGGTTGCAAAATCCATTTCGCACCACCTAAGAAACCCTGGTAAACCCCCTGGTAAATACCAACAAACAATGCCTTCCTCCGGTTTCAAAAGATTTCGCAACCATCCACAGTATCAGGCCCTTCAAGTGCAGGCCCCAGCCTGGGGAGAGCCCGAGGTTGGAACTGGGGGCGACGCCGTCTACCAGCCGTTCTCCCCGAGGTGAGTCGTAGATACGGGGTGAAGGTCTTTTGCTTGGGCCAAGTGCTGTGTAGCACTTTGTCCACTCGAAGTGCACTACACCTGGATGTATATTATGTGTATTTGTATGCATGTATTGGTGTCCGATCCATGCCTGCCAAACATATTCTGGGGTGTGTGACCATGAGGGACAATTGTCAGGAATAGCATGGGTGCAATCTCATGAACTCAAGGGACTACGAAGGAGTGGAGAAGCCAAGGGTAAGCCAAGAGGGTTTAATCCCTCCCCATAGCCCCCCCCCCCCCCCGCGAAAAATCTATGACCACCAACTCCTTTCATCGAAAAATCCATGACCACCAAATCCTTTCATCGAAAAATCCATGACCACCAACTCATGTCATTGGCATTACATGACGTGTTTGAACTGGTGACCACTCTCATTCTAAGTGGGTCCAAGTACCTCATGAGGATGGTTTTTAGGGGTAAAAATGGGTTTAGAAGGTACTTGAACCCTTTGGCATTGGGTTGTCAATCGGAGTTTCTGTTGCTGAATCGTTTTGGAAGCTGGCGGCGGAGCAGCTCTTTGTGCACGGTTCGGACGGTCCGTTGGGCTGAAATGACCGTCAAACCACGAGGGGGGTTTGACCCACCAAAGCCCCACTTTTGCCCAAGCGCTGCTCCCGCCTTTTTGTGTTTTTGTCCACAACCTGAAAAAAGGATCACAGAGAGATGGGCCGCTCATGAGCCTTCGCGCCAGGAACGCGGAGCTTGGAGACGCGTTTGCCAGGGGCCGATCGGTCAGCCGGGAAGGTCGGCACCTTCAACGTGGGAGCTGAATAATTCGCCCATAGCAAGGTTTCATTGCCCTACATTCGGAAACAAAACGGGGAAGGGCGAAGGCACACCATGGCACACCGCTTGGACGGATCCTCGATCAAATTGGGGCTGGCTTGGGTTGCGCTTCAACTTGCAGAAGGCATGAGCAACGGTCAGTATTCAAGGTCCCCCAGTAGTGCCCTTTTAACGTTTCTTTTTTGGGGGAGGTTCCCCAGCAAAAAAAAACAAAACGGAAAAAAAGGTACCAACTTCTTCTAACCTCCAAATGTGGACCTAGGGTGTGGCGCAAAATGCAAAAAACCCCTGGTGATCAAAATAGCTGGAAAATGTTCATGTTCATCCGCCCCAAAATGTGATTGCCATGCCGGTTATGCAACCCATTGCCCCATGGCCACAGTCATCGATGTCGGACTCTTCCGGTGCTCAGGCCGGCTTCCACGCCCGTCGCGGCCGGCGTGGCCGTCGTTGGAAGCTCAGAGACGGGGAGAGGTGAAGCTCAATCCGCAAAACACGGCCGTTTCAATGTCTTCCATTTGCTTAAGAATATGGTCTTATTTTCCCTTGTTAATGTTAAAAGGAACATATCACTACTGGAAACATATATATATATATGGGAGTCGTTCTAAAGGTCCTTGTAAGGAGTTTAGTATTCGGTGACCATCGGTGTTGGTTGAGGTAGCTCCGCGAAAGATTCGCGATGGAGTTGCGAAAGTAACTTTTTTTTCTCGCGAAAGTTTTGCGTAACTGTGTCTTGTAAATCAATGATATGTGAAACCATTCATCTTTGCTGCTGAGCCTTCCTTCTGCGCTGATTACAACACTTTGTTGATTTTGCGCCGAAAAAGCCTTGTGAGGCTACAGTTTGATACCCTGCTTGGCTGGTTAGTGCCCCAAGCCTGTGTATGTGTGCCTGTGGGTGTTTACTCGGCGCCTTTCCGCTCTGAAACGTGGGTGGTTTTTCGCGAAAGTTCCGTGAAAGATCCGCGAAAGCCCCCGCGAAAGCGGCTTCGATTGTAAGGGGGAGGTACTTTCTGAGCGCCGCGCTTGTCAGTATACCAGCTTGGTACTGGAAAGTTGCGACTTTAAGCTGGAGCTGCACGGCTTAGGAAAAGCTGCGTCGTTCCAGCCCGTGCATGTCATGTACTACCCCTGTGATGAAAGTTGCGACTTTACGGCGGGAGTTGGGGAATCGAATTTCGCGCACTACGCTGGCACTTAAAATCAGCGATTTTCTGACTTGAGCAAGGAAAAGGGCACGGCGATGAATCCGCGAAAGATTCGCGAAAGTAACTTTTTTATTCGCGAAGAATGGCCGTTTCGAGACAAAGGAATTTAGAACAACCACCATATATATATGTATATATTATTTTTTGCCAGGGGTCTGAACCAAATGGAAGATGTTTGACCCTGGGGTTTTCCAGGCTCTGTCCAGTCGCTTTTCGTGCAACGAAACGAGCATCGACCTACCGTGCAAAAGCAAGCGCGCAAGAGTAAGGGTACACAAGCAAACACCTTTGACATGTCATGCTACTTCTTGGGCCGTGTCTCATCTGAACAGCTATAGCGTTTAACTGGGTGTGGCTCGAAATTAAACAGGAAGGGATACGCAGGTTTTGGTCCGTGTTTCCACTTACCAAGGTTCCATTGTGGTACCGGTTTGTTGAGCCACAGCCAACTGTTTAACCATCAACCGCCTCCGGAGTTCTGGCTCTTGGCATTCTCTTCGCTTGAAATTGCGGCCCCAAAGGGTTCCCCAGTTTCGACCTCTCCGGAAAACGTGTTTTTTGTTGGTGTCCAACATTCTAGGGGTACCTTCCATTTCCATTTTTCCCAGGGATCCGAATCTTTCTAGAAAACCTCCGGAAACCCAGGGAAAACGGCTCCGGCTTTTGGAAAGAACGATGGTTGAAAAGAATGGTTGAAAAGAATGGTCGGTGCACCACCCATTTTCGAACCTATTTTAGTTGGGGATTGGGATGTTCACTGGGGGTAGGATTTGGATATTGACCCATGGCCATATCGACACATATCGAGACTCGGCTGTTCCCAGTCGTCCCCGCCTCACGCGCTTAGGTCCAGCTGGTGGGCTCGAGAAACGCGCGTAGAGGCGCGGGTGATTTTTCCAGAGATGCCCCCCAAAGACCAAAAAAAAGCCCGCCATGCATGTGAGTTCAAGTTGCACATATATGTTGTTGTTTTTCCTCTAGCTGGACGTCCCCATATGTTGTTGTTTTTTTTGTTTTTTAATTATTGTTTTTCTCTAGCTGGATGTTCAAAAAACAATTCCTTGGCCAACCAATTGTGTGTGTGCTTATCATGGACTTGTGAGCCAATGGCCTAGGGTTCCGCCAGCCACAGAAATCGACGGCATCTGCCTCGGCCACTTCTATCGCCCGAGTTGCTCACTTCGGGCGTGGCCTGCATCTGTTTCGGGCTCCAAGTCAGGGGATGCTTGATGTTGGGAGCGGTGTCAGCGGCTGAGTTCTAAAAGAGTTTTCTTTTTTTTCCGGTTGATGTTGGACAAGCAAGTTCTATCAATCGATTCCAAAAGACTGAACATATTGGTTGAATGCACCGAAGCTTGATCATGTTTGAGGAGGGCTTTGGTGTTCAGGAAATCCTTTGTTTAAGCATCGGTTCCAAAACGGGCGCGCCGCAGGTAAGCTTCGGACAAGGACCGGAGGGCTGAAGGTCGTTTGCGTTAAACAGCAACTTCCCCGCAAGTAGCACTATCCAGAAAAACGCGACTTTCCCGGTTTGAATTTGAACATGTCTACCCCAGCTAGGTGCCCTTTTCAGCCCCTTTTTTGGTTGGTTTTGGGCTCCCCTACTAAAATAGACTGCAGAAAAAAAGGGCAGCACCCTTATTCTATCCTCTCCACTGCAGGACCAAGATGTGCATTGTTCAAGTAGAATTGCACTTTGCAGCTTTCTTCGTGGGCGCTGATGGAGAGGCATCATTCAGCGGCGAAAAACTGCGCTCTTCGCTGGGAAGCAACCAATGTACCGCACTTGATGCCCAATGCGCCACCTGAAATATCAGGTCCCCCGCCCCGGGCTAAGGTGAACTGTGGATATAGATGAATACAACTCCAGCATTCCCTTTGAACACCTGGGTGATTGCGTGGTTTCACTGCAGCTTTTTACCAGTTCTGCGCAGTTGTGTCTATATTGTCATACGTGATCAGCACATGTTGGCGCGACAGGAAGACGTGTTTGCCAACATGGGCGACTGCTTGCTTGGGTTGTTGATGACTTGAAATGCTGCGGCATTGCCAGTGATTGCTGTTGTTGAACCAATGCGGCGTAGCCAAGCCAGCCATGATCAGCTCCACTTGCAGAATTGTTGCTTCGCACATGAGCATGAATCATTTTCTGATCGGGGATGAAATGCGTAGACTTGAGAAGGGGCGCGGCGCTTGTGAATCAAATGTGTATTGAGTCTTTGGCGTTGGGCTTGTGCCAAAGATACAAAAGACCAGGGTGTCCTTTCGTTGTTGTGCATTGGCACGTGAAAGCGTAACATGGTTGATTTTGAGACGAATGAAAAGCAAGGCCTAACGCTGATGTTGCTCTGCAGACGGCAAACATCGCACTCTTTGGGCCATTGACACATCGCCACTCCCCCAAGTTCATGGGAAGACTATTTGGGTGGCAAACAATCAGTTTGGTTACGCTTGGCCAGTCCAGGATGTGAGACATTCCGAGATTTGAAGCCTCCATTTCATGGGGTATTCCTCGTGTCTCACGTGTGGCTTTTTGGGTGTCAACACATCCTCGGATTCGTTGGGGAGGATGTGGGTCCCATGTGGCTCGTCTTCTTTTGTGGTACTTGTTGTTCTTGGTTTTTGGTGTTAAAGACAGCCAACTGGTGTTTTTCAGCTCATGTTTGCTGATCTTCTTTTGACTACAGACGCCATCCAAAACCGGGGTGTCACATGTTTGGACACCTTTGTTTCGGGCTTCCGCACTTTTGGAGACCCCATGTGAGCGTTAGTCTGCCTGCCAGACCTGGCAGGCTGATTCGCGCACAGGGCGCTGCGAAAGAGGCACAGCCAAAGTACATCTCTGTGGACGAGGCGCTCGGCGTGGCCGACGGCCGGGTGAGTCGAAAGGGAGTGAGGCGGCTGGATATGGCTGTGGCTCAAAAACCGGGACCAAAATGAAACCCTGGTAAGTGGAAATGGACCAAAACCTGCGTAACCCCTCCTGGTTAATGTTGAGCCACACCCATATGAAGATTTAGAGCCAAACATCGTCGACAAATATGAACTAAGACCCGACTGGAATCGTGCCTTGCATGTCAGGTAGGTTTGCTGGGTGTAGTTTGAGGGCAAGCTTCAAAGAGGAGGGTACCCAGTGAACTTTGAAATCCACCAAACAGCTGGGCGTGGAGCTGACACATTTCAATCCGGTCTAAGATGAACCCCCTGGTCAACTCCCTCCCTGAGGTCATGGACTTCAAACTTTTGGTAAATAAAAAGTTTGAACATTTTCTGACCAATGCACTCAGGAAGTGAGTAAACTGGCAATGGGTTTGGGGAACCGTAAGTTCCAATTGTGCGACACACCCAACACGTTTTCCCGTGAACCCGCACCATCCATCCTTTTTCGGGCTTGCCGGGTCCACCTTGGAAAGCCTCCAAAGGTTTCTACACTTGGATTGAACCATGGAACAGCAAGAAAAGCAAGTGCAATATCATCAGCGTTCAATGCAGAACAATCTCCTTATAGATCGCGCCAGCTAAAACATGTTGTCAAAAAAACCCGGCATCACTATACTTATCATACACCTTGCAGGAGCTCATTGTGTTGCTTCACTCAGCTTATGAGTCTGTCAGATGAGGGCGTTGCTGCTTAGTCAACTTGGCACGGAGAAACCATTCACAGACCCTTCCATCGTCCCTTTCCCGACCCCGAACAAACCCGACCTGTTAATAGGGGGAACACCCCCCCCCCCCCCGCCGGAAGTATTGCATTCCCATTCAACTAGGGCTTTTACATGGGAATGCAACTCCTGAGCAAATCCCGCCTGCGCAATCAGCCAGGCCTCCAAAATCAGCCTCAGATCACCCCGATCCTTAACCCAACCTGTCCAATGTTTTGCTCTTTTTTGAGCCATAACGAATGCTGAACCTGTTATTCTCTTAGCCACAGATGCCAGTAAAGCGATTATGGTAGTGAAAGCGACCGGATCGCTCCGTGGATCGCACCGATTTTCGGAACGGGTCCGGATCCTACTTGGAACCCCTGGTGGGTTGGGGGCTGTTATTTAGTGGGACTCCTTCAGTTACGCTGCCCTTCCCCCCCCCAAAAAAAAAAGGAGAAAAGGATGTGGACAAATCCAGGAAAGTTTCAGTCTTTCAGTCCAATAGTCTAAACCATAGGTGTCGTTCTCCGAGCCAAAACCCAAGGCATCAACTTGGCTTTCGGCTTTCGGTAGGCTACCCTGGATCAGCTGAACCACTTCGCTGCAAAAGGCTTGACCCGCCTGGCCCTCAGCGTCCGCGTGCCCATTGTATCACCCACTCAAAAAAGCAAAACGCGCCCTGGAAAAAACTTGAGTGGGCCTCATTTTTTGAGGGGGGGCTCCCCACCAAATGGCGGGTTTCCTTTTGGTGTTCCTTTCAACCACAAAAAGGGGTCCCTCCAGCAAGATGGATCAAACCATCTGACTCCAGAGTGGACGCTCTGAGAAGGTAAGGGGACAAGTGCTTCCATGGTAAGGTGCAAACTGAAAATTCGTGAACCCCTTTTTGTGGCTTAAATGGAAACCAAGAGCAAAACCACTATTTTATGGGGTTCCCTGAACAAAATGAGACCCATTAATGATGTTCCTGCTCATGTCCTTGGATCCATCAACAAAGAGGGTTGATGTTGACACCTTTCCCCAGCCGTCATTAAGAGTGGAGAATGGAGACAAGCCAAGAGTCTTACCTGTAGACTCCTTAGGCGTGAGTTGGTTTGATTGAATTTCGAGCTTGGTGGTGGAAATATTCTCAGTGTTCCCATTATTTTGTTTCTGACAGCGTCAAGTGCAGACAGAAAAAAACAAAGAACAAGAAAACAACGCATTGTATATGGCTCTTTGTTGTGTCCAGGGTGTTTTTTTTTTCCCCGCTGTGCTTCTTAGATGCAAAGGGGCACTGTGGGCAAGTCCACCGCGAGCCAACAGCTGAGCCCGACCGGCTTCCTTTCCGAGGCCCCCAATTTTCGTGGGCCAATCGGTGTGGTACCCCTCAATCGGTTTGGGGAAGTGAACTTTTGGGTTCTTGTAGAGACTAAAGGGTTTGCCTACCAAGCTCACCAATCCAAACCACCGAATGAGGGGAAATCAGAAGTTTACCAAGTCAAAGGTAAGACTTGCTCGGCCTACTTCTCTTGCAGCTTTCTCCTTCGCCCTTGCGAAGGTCACCCTGAGAGCAATCTGCTCACCCTGAGGGGTGTTTGTTTTCGTTATTTGATTTTTCTTTTTGGGGGGCTTAGACGTTGGACCAGTTGAATGACGATTTTCTGGGCCAATCTCGTGAAGTGAGAAGCTCAGAGCTCGAAACTCGAGGCTACGCTTGGGATCTCTTTCACCGGATCCTGGCTGCCGTGGCCTCAAGGGTCGTAGCGATCGCAGTTCGCTGATCCGATGCTCGGAGAAGTAGTCTTTGTCCTAGAGCTGATCCGTTTCTAGGTCCAGTGCCCAACTTTTACCCTTTCTTTTTTGGGGGAGGGTTCCCTAGTAAAATAGAGCAAAGAAAAAAAGGTACCAACTTATTCTAAGCTCTCTACTGGAGAACCTTGTCTTTGTTCTAGACTTGATCCACTTGGACCACCCCTCTACTTTTGTGTTTTGGCCAGTCGCCGGCAAAAAAATCAGCCGTCGTCATGCTGCGCCAGCCCTGTCCTTGGACCCAAAGATGTTGTTTGTTAAAATGAAACGGTTGAAATGGCAGTCCCGGAAATAGCATGTTCCCATTTCGCCTTTTGATCAGCCATCGGATTTTCGAGCGCGCTCTCTGTGTTTTGAGCAGGGAACGTGCTTAGGATCCTTTTTGGGGGCTGACCAAAATCAGCGTTTTCTGGTTGAAACAGCCCGAAGCCAGGCGTGTTTTCGCACCTTTGGAGCTCGCATTTGTGTGGAATGTGTGGAGATGCCAACAAGGTCCCCCAGCTAGGTGCGTTTCACCAACTTTTTGTTGGGGTTGGGAGGGTTCCCCTACTAAAATAGACAACGGAAAAAAGCTGGTACCCTTTTTCGAACCTCTCCACTGGAGGACCGAGATTAAGTCACCCTGACCGGAAGCTTTGGCGACTTTGAGTCGCGAGCCCCAAAAAGTTGGTGTTTGCCTCCACGTGGGCTTTAGGAACAAAGTGAGTGAACAGACTGAATGCAATGATTGGCTACTGTGGTCCAATGGAAAATATTGTTGTAAAAGTGTATAATATACACTATTAAACATATTATATAGTATATAGTATAAAACTTTAGAGCCTCCGGCTCAGTCCGCCGACATTGTCCTCTCCCTTTTCTCCTTCTTCCCTCTCCCTTGTCTCCCTCGTGCGTTCTGTCGTCCTCTCTCCCTCCCTCTGCTCCCCATTCTCCCCATCCCCCCAAGCCTCTCTCTCCTCAATCTCCCTCTCTCTCTCTCTCGCTGTCTCTGTTTCTCTGTCTCTTTCTGTCTCCCTGTCTCCTTCCTGTCCACGCCCCTCTACAGAAAAAGGGCACCCTAATTCGAACCTCTCTACTCTCTCACTTTCTCGCTCTTTCTCTTTCTCTCTCTCTCTCTCTCTCTCTCTCTCTCTCTGTCTTTCTGTGTCTCTCTTTCTCAGTCTCCGTCTTTCTCTCGCTGTCTCTCTCTCTGTCTGTCTCTTTCTCTGTTTCTCTGATTCTGGCTCTGTCTGTGGCTCTGTCTCTCTCTCTCTCTCTCTCTTTCTGTCTCTCTCTCTGTCTCTCTCCCGCTCTCTCCCTCTCTCTCTCTCTCTTTGTCTCTCTCTCTCTGCATTGCAGCGTCACGTCCCCCCCTGAGTTGCCTCGATGTCCGGGCACTGCCCCTGCATGACCCTGAACTGTCATCTCACTACTGGCTTTCCCCCTTCATGTCCTTGTCACGTTTATCATGATGTCCTGGTCCTGTCCCTTCCATGCCATTCAGCCCCCCCTTCATGTCCCTGACATTTTCTCGGTATGTCCGCTTCATTTGCCATGTATGTCCCGTTCTTTCGTTGCGAGTCATTTCCCTACATCTCCCGTCGTGCTTGGTTTCCTTGTGCTTTGTTTCCTCTCCTTCCCCCTGCACTCCCCTTGTTTTCATTTCTGTCCCTTGCATGTCCCTTTCAGTTCCCCTTTGTTTCCCTTTCATGTCCCGCTGCTTTCCTGTCATGTCGACTTCCTATTTCCTCCCCTCATTTCACTTGCACTTCCTTGCATTTCCCCTCTGCTCCCCAATATTTCCAGCAAAAAAAACACGGGTTTTCCAGCGTTTTCACAATTAGGACGTCCAAAAACACAGAGTTTTTCCAGATTTTCTGCAAAAGGAGGCAGGAACCCCAAACCAGCAAAGAGCTGGCAGGGGGAATCGAGCCTGGGACCCCTGTTTTGCGACACCGGCTCCCCGAAGACTACGTTTAGTGGAACGTCATCAAATTGCCGCGCGGTCCTTGGCCAAGGGGGGGGGGCCCCCGTAAGATGGACACTTGAGGTCTATTTGGAAAAGGAGGCTCCATTCAAAAGTCAATCCTTAGAAAGGGATGCTCGCCAAATAGACGCTCAAGGTTTTCCAAGGTGGGACCGAGCTTGCCGAATAGACAGTCAAGGTTTTCCAAGGTAAGGCCGGGCTCGCCCACTGAATGTTCAAAGAAAGTGAAGTCCGAGCCGTCCGGCCAGTCCGATCCGCCCGACCTGTCCGACCCGAGGCGTCCGTGTCCAAGCCGACCCGAGTCCGAGCTGTCCGACCAGTCCGATCCGTCCGATCCGTCCGAGCTGTCCGACCCGAGGCGTCCGTGCAGTCCGACCCAAGGCGTCGGTGTCCGAGCCGACCCGAGTCCGAACTGTCCCTGGTCCGCGCCGACCGACGAGTCCCACATGCCTGACGTTTGCGGGCAGTCCGCGACGTACGACATGTCCGACGAGTCCGACGTAGGGACGCAAGGAGTGTCCGAGCCGTCCGCGGGAACGGGCCGTCCGCGACGTCTGACGTGTCCGACGAGTCCGATGAGTCCGACGAGCCCGATGAGTGCGACGTAGGGCCGCAAGGAGTGTCCGAGCCGTCCGCGGGAACGGGCCGTCCGCGATGTCCGACGTGTCCGACGAGTCCGATGAGTCCAACGGGAACGGGCCGTCCGCGATGTCCGACGTGTCCGACGAGTCCGATGAGTCCGACGATCCCGATGAGTCCGACGCAATTACGGGGCCGAAGACGAGTGTCCGATCCATTCGACATAGAGTCCGCGGCGTCCAAGTCTGCGGCGTCTGCCAAGTCCGATAAGTCTGTGGCGTCCGATACCCGCGCTGCGAGACGAGTCCGACAGGCCTGGCGTAGGGCCGACCGCGACGCCCGACGTGTCTGACAAGTCCGAACAGTCCGATGAGTCTGACGTAGGGTCGCCCGCGGCGTCCGACAGGGCCCGCGGTGTCTGAAGTGTCCGGCGAGTCCAAAAGCTCTATAGCGCGCGCGATGAGTCCAATAGGGCCGGCCGTCCGACATGTCTGCCGAGGTCGACTTCGACAAGTCGACAAGTCCAATTCTGACAGGTGCGTAGAGGGGTTCGCTCAGCTACCACGGCCAATCCAGCCCAAGTCGGTTTATTATGGAGCCAGGCCTTCTGAAAAAATACCCTGACAAGAGTGGGTGGACCAGTTCCCAAAAAGTAGAAGTATTCAAAATCAGCTCAACAGTCACATTGTCGGCCACACGTGCCACTCGCGAGCCTGTGTCGAGGGTGCGCAGCACGTGGCTCGAGGGCGCATGCCCCTTTACCATTCTCCCCCAGAGGTTGGAGCTTCTTCATTTCAGGCCCGAGAATCTACCGCTTTAAAAAGCTTGGAAGGAGCCCGTTCACTTGCGAACATATGCATGTCAACCTAGAAAACCCAGAGGCAATGAAACCCATCTGATCTGATTACCAAGCATATTCGATAGCATTGAGATCCGTTGCCGAAATCAGGCATGGCCATCCGGGACGGGCTCTCACTTTCAGCAGCTCACGGGCAGCATGGGCTATCTTCAGCACCGAGACGCCTAACGAAGTACAAACGACGAATGCCAAGAAGCGCGGGTTTCCGTCTTTGTCTTTACTTGCAGTTTGGACCAGCATAGAACGAAGTGACACCACGGGTGACCCGAAAACATAATGGAAAGTGAATGTTGCTTTCATGCGATACCTCCTCGTGCAAGATGGCTCATGCAAGTTTGGCTGCGCGATGAGGCTATTGATTTCATCGGGATAAGCCTTCGTAGAGCTTTTGAGGGGAATGAGCCTAAACTGAAGTACTCTGCGGCCTAGACGTCGGGGCACTATTGATCCTAAAAGAGGCCCACGCCAAGCATCTTATATGCTCCCACCCAAATACATCATTTGCTCTTACTTTGTCTCTTGTTTAAGAAGTCCGTGCCGGCATCCTTATTCCCTTATTCCCTACTCCGAATACCTTTTTTTTGGGTCGCACACGATTTTTTTGAACGATCTAGGTTTCCATGATAAACACCTCCCTGTTTTTGTAAAGGGATGCCATGATGTCATACCCTGTAACCAAAAATAGTTTTTGAAGGCTGCAGGGGTACTCGCAAGTTTGTGGGTTGCCCTTGCCCCCTAAACAAGAGGTTGATCACCACCTTTGAGGCTTATGAAAAAACTATCTGATGCCACACCAAACCGAGGACCCGCCTGTGTCGGCACGTCGCCCAAACTCACGATGTTCCTCACAAGTTTGAGACTTCGAAGCACCCAAAACCCAGTGACTGTTGACAACATAGAAGCCAGCAGGATTTTCTACAGGACATTGTGTTGCCAATCACCCACCAAAAATGAGAGGATGTATCGGTGACTTGTCCAGTGGATTGGAAGTGAATACATCCGTAGCACGGGAGGCTGCGTTTTAGGACCCCAAATCATGGGTTTCAAGTGGTGGTTTTCCATCACCACCAAGCAAGGAGTAGAGACAGGTGATGTCCAAACAGCAGTGGTTGGGGGGGGGGTGCTGGTAAGTTGTTCCCGTTGGCTATTTTAGGTGGTCCTACTGCCCGTTTGCACAGGGATTGCAGTAAGGCCAATATCAAACATCACAACTGTATTGGTAAAACCAATCTAGCTACAAGAAATTCCACTCCTGTGAACCTCCGCCCAAAATCAAAATTTGCCGGGAGTGTGACTTGCGAGAGGTCAGTCATGTGCAATAATTGGTTTACCCTAAAGTGAAACCCCCGCAATGGGACAACCCCAACTCTTTTTCAACCACCTGGACCCTCAAACTACCCAGGTCGGCACGCCACGAGGTGTCTGTAGCCTAAACACTTATTTCATACTAAAACCTGAAGCGAAATTGCATTCTACTATTTCTAGTGTCTGCCCGAACTAACTGCCGCGCACATGTGTTACCCTTTCTTGCCCAT